ACAGCTTGAGTAATGATACTCCTATCATCGGCCAGGGAGATTTTAACATCTGTGGCGACGGTATCACACGTAGCAGTTTTATCATCAGCTAAAATGAGATGAGTTGTTTGTGTTCTCTTTTCGATATCTTTCATTAATGCAAAGCGATCGGATATACATGAAACTTCTGAACCAGGATCAATCAACGCAAGGATTTTATTTTTATTGCAATATACTGGGATTATTACGCGCTCATCTAAAGAGCCGTTGTATTGTCTGTGTAAGGATTGTACCTGGTAGTACCGTCACTCCAACTTAATGTTGGGCTTTCGGTCACAAGACTTAGTGTGATAACCATTGGTCTTCTCACACTTGTCACACTTAGTAAGAAAGGGTGTACAGGTGGATGCATGTCTACCATTCTAATAACCGTTAGGGTTCACATTTCTTAATCTCCTTAAATGGAGGTTCCATGTCCTTCGCTCCTGCGCGTGCCCGTTTATTGGGTCGCGTCGTGAAAGTGAATTTGCGAGCACGTGTAAGTTGGGGTCTCTCGTTTGAGGTCTGCCTGGATACGTACCCGTGATCGGTGAGCTCCCGCGGCTTCTTAACAGCCGATTTTCCCTTCGATGTTACTCGATGTGCAGGAAAAAGAGTGGATACAGTTTCATAAAACTGTTCCCATGTAAGTCGGGATAGATGAAACTTTGTTTCATGTCCCTTGTCTCGAGCCTCAGTCGCGTGTTTACGTCGCAACTCGGTGTACAAACTCTCATGGTCGTTATTCCCTATGTTCTTACAGAACACGTGCATAACCAGGAATTCGTACCATCGCTGTGCCTTATCCTTTGTTATATCGGGACGTTTCAGGTCAGCGTCTAACTTCAGAATATAACTCTGAATGGGCGTGTTCTCGGCTGGTTCATTTAAAATTGAACCCAGCCCAGGGCTACGCATATCCCTACTTAACAAGGATGTGACCAACCAACACACAGCTGGCTAGTCACGACAAGTGTCTAGCTCATGCTGGTGTCGCTGCAGGATCAGATAACTGGTACCTGTAGGGTCAAATGTCTACATTAAGGCAGAGATCCATTGCTGGGGAGCGATATCATTCGTCTCCAGCATGACCGTAAACGCATTAAGCGTACAAGTTAGCGTGTCGAGGTCATGGTTGTTTATAAACTCGACCTGCTTGCTGTTGGCAACCCAGTTCGACTTAAGTCGACAGATTTTAGGATCTGTCCCTTGTACTTCTGGTTGTCCCCGTGGTCTTGTCCACGTTGGGCCTGAAGTAATTAGTTTATGCGCTTTTGCTTAATCGCAATAATATTCGCATAGTATGCTACGTCATTAGCATGATGCGCAGCATGCGCGACTTCCATTTTATTGGTATAGTCGTCGACCGATTTATAAAGGTCGGTCACCTCGTCAGAGTGGAAATCCTCTGCGGGTTGGTGTAAAGCAGTGCGGTCGAAGCGATTAAACTCGACATCGTTTACACGTCTGCGGGGATGATTAATATCTCTTGGCGTCGGAATAACATACCCAGTCATAACTGGTTTCCGACGATTGTCCTCCCAATTGGGTACAAGTGGCGGAGTACATTTCCTTACCTCTCGGTCTATAATACCATTGAGGACAGGTGACTCACGACCAGGTGTCAGAAAAGGCGAATGATTAGCCTGTTCTTCTGGCAGTAATGCCTCGTACGGTATATCGACGCTGTGCATCTCTGGATCATATGACTC